AGTAATATTAATTTAGTTTATAAAACAGAAATAGATGTAAATAAAGCATTTACCAAAGGTTTTTTTAAATATTAGGGAAATACCAGTATTTAACCAGTTTGATCATTGGAAAAAATACAACGATGAAATTAAAATAGATGAACTCCATGAATTAACTGTATATTATGTTGAAACTATAGATACAAATGTAAGACCATTAAAAACAACAATGGACAGCATTAAGGAACTAATAGAGAAAAATCAACACACCAAGCAGATGATATATTCTATTGCATATAGTAAAGGTATTGACGTTGCTACTTATATAGAATTTCGTAAAACACATGATTTAAGTTTGTTTTTAAATCCTGATGAATTAAAACAAGCAATTAGAAACATTGTAATAAGTGGTAATCACAACTTATTTTTCAACAAAAAATATAATCTAGTATATGGCAAGTTTTTGAAGGAATTCATCAATGAGAATAAGACACACAAAATCAATATTTTATATTATAAACAACCTTCATTTATTCATAAGGTTGAATATACAAATATTATTAATGAACTTTTACAAACAAATATAGATGAACATGACGAAGCATTAGATAAACTAATTAAAAAGTTAATAGCAAATGTAAATTTTGGATTATTAGAAAAAGGAGGCGCTACAGCACATCAAAGTATTTTATTTAAAAGTATTGATGAAGCAGTCCATTATCAAACAGAATACGGAGGTAAAATTAATAAGTTATCGCATATTATAAGCGAATATCCCGAAATGATAACCGAATATGACGACGAAGGAGGCGCAACTACAACATATTATGGATTTGATGAGGATGAATGGGATGTAAAGGCATCATATTATATATTGAATTTGAAGGATAAGGCAGTATTAAGAAACGGATATAGATATATTAAAGAACTACTTTTACAACATCACAATTTTAAAATGAACCAAGACTTTAAGACACTAATAACTAATAATATTAATATATATAGTGTAAAAACAGATGCTTTTGTAATTGATACATGCAATGAAGAAAAAACAAAGCAATTATTAGAATTTCATGATGATATAGGAGGTTGGAAAGTTTCAAAGCAGAGAGATGAAATTAATTTACCTACAGTAAAATTTAACGTTGTAAATAATGAATTAATAAAAATACCAGCTTATGAAAGTAAAACTATTGATATTAAAGATGAATACGACACTGATAACATTATAGAGATTGTTAAACAGAATAATCCTATTATGATCAGAGGTGAACTACCGGGCACAGGAAAATCATATATATGTCAAAAAATGGTTGATAAAAATTATAAGGTAATTTTTATTTGTCCTACTAATAAACTATTACAGGCATTTGAAGGAGAAGCAATGACGATAAATAAATTCTTTGGTATTAATTATGGAGATGCTAAATTAGAACCATTTGATTTTACAGAATTTGATGTAATAGTATTTGATGAAATCTATTTTAGTAATTTAAATATATACTGGAGAATAAAACAATTTGTAGAACAGAATAAGCGCAACAAAATTATAATAGCAACAGGAGACACCAAGCAATTAAAACCAGTGCAAGAAATAACAAATACTCAAGACTATGAATTATACACTGACAATATTATAGATAATATTTTTACACATAATATAATATTGAAAGAATGTAAGAGACTTAACACACAGGAAGATAAGGATAAACTCAAGAATATAAAATATGATATTTTTATTAATAAATTACCAATTAAAACTATTATTGAAAAATATTTTGAATACACCACAGACATAAGTAGTTCCAAAAACAACATAGCATTTTTGAATACAACCTGTAAAAATGTATCAAATGAAATTAGAAAGTTAGAAAATTGAAAGGATGAATATGAAGTAGGGGAATTTTTAATTTGTAGAGAATATACTAAAACTAAAACATCAGTTTTTAATGTAAATTTCAAATATAAAATAGTTCATATTGGAAGTGATGGAATATTTACATTAAAAAATGTAAAAACCGAAATTTTACAATCCGTAGAAATTGCTAAAATAAGAAGCAATTTTATATTTTCTTCTTGCTCTACATGTCATTCTACTCAAGGTAGTAGCATTGATGACACCATAACAATTTTTGATTATAATCATTTTTTGGTAAAGAATTATCCAGAATGGATTTTTACAGCGGTAACACGTGCTCGTGATTTAAACAAAGTCAAATTTTATAAATATACAAAGGATGTTGATGATGTATTTAATCAAAAATGTATTATGAGTTATTTCGAAAGGAAAATTTTGAATTATAAGGAACAAGACAGGAAAGCAAAAAGAAGCATACCTAGAGAAGGTTATGTAAATACTCAATGGTTTTTAGATAATATAAATAATCAATGTAATTACTGCGGATGTGGTTTTACTATTGATATGAAACATGGTAATATCATTACAAATCTAACAGCACAACGAAAAGATAATGAATTAACTCATACAATAGAAAATATCATCCCATTTTGTAAATTATGTAATTGTAGTTGTAAATGATTATAATTTTTAATTTAATTATGATAATATAATTTTAATTTTAATTTATTAATTTAATTTTAATTTAAAATTAAATTTCTTGTAAAAAGTATTTAAAGAAATATTACCTATATATATTATATAGCGAGATGATGAAAACCAAAATCAATAGTTATATCAATAAAAAATGCTATGATTGTTGCCACTTCAAAAAGGAAAATATAGAATTGTATAAACTGAATTTACATAACGGAATAGTGAATAATATTATTGATTATGCATTGGGCGAAGAAGATGTATGTAGAACTTGTAGAAGATGGCGACGATATCAAAATATAATAGAACATATTTTGGAGATTAAAAAATAGATAAAAGAAACGTAGAAGATGAAATTTTAATATTTTTAACCGTGTATGGAAGACCACCTTATAGTTATGTTAGAATATTTCTAAAAATCAGTAAGAAAAAATATAAAATGATTGAAAGTATATTATGGATGTTGACTTATCATAGTAGGGAAGGTTTTGATGTAAAAGAAGACATTAAAACATATATCGAAAGTAAAAAGTTTAATATTAAAAATACAGTGAGAGATATTAATATTATTTTAAAAATAATGCATGAAAGACGTACGATATATATATACAACTTAGTAGTCATCAATTAAATTATTATCCTGAACTTAAATTATGAAATTTTATCTACATAACCTAATTTAATTTTAATTTATTAATTTAATTTTAATTTAAAATTAAAATTCTTGTAAAAGTATTTAAAGAAATATTTTATAATACTATTATATAGTGTGATGAGTGATACAGTCCATGATGCTAAAAATATATTGAAAAAAGTTTATGAGTTATAAATGTGAAGACTGCGAAATGCTAAAATTACCAATTGAACAGGGTTTTACAAATGGCGTTTGTAATTATATTTGTCAATATATGATATGCAATAATTGCAATAGAATTATAAACAAAATTGATGATATGAATAACAAAGATATTGATATTAGAAATAATGAAACTATTGATGATGATTTAGAAATATTTGTGTTTATTGAAATGAATAATTTCTTAACTATAGAAGGGTTTGATAATTTATTATATGAGGGCGATGATGAAGGAAACGCTAATGACTTTATTTTTAAGTATTATAGCATGGTAAAAAGATTATACAATATGTCTTCTAGCATTAAACGTTTAAAATATGAAACATTGAATGATAATGACCTTGATTTTTTACATGAGGTTTTAAATGATCGGTATAAAACTCACGAACTTAGATATACAATAACACGTGCAATTGGAATAATGGGAATGTTTAGAAAACAAATAAGAAGTAATATTTATAATGAAACAACGTGTGATAAAATAATAGAAAGAATTAAGAAAGAATGGTGCCCGTAAAAAACGAATGAACCAGACCTTGCCCATAATATGTCTACAAAATTTGTGATAAAATTTATTGTAAAATAATTTATCATAATTTTGGGAATAATATTTTTATTTTTATTTTTATTTTATTTTTTTGTAAAATTTATTTTTTTTTATTTTTTTTGTAAAATTTATTTTATTTTTTTTAAATTGATTTTTTAAAATTTATTTTTTAAAATTTATTTATTTTTTGAAAATTTATTTTTTAAAATTTATATTTTAAAATATGGATGAACTTACTAGGAAATTACCTGCTTTAAAATGTTGATTTTTGAAAATGTGCTTTTTGAGGTGCTGTTGTAAAATGTTGCTAAAAGTGTGGGGAGGACCCTAGGATTTTTTATAGAAAAAAGATGGGCAAGGTCTGGTCTAACTCTTTACCCCCCCCTGCTTTGGGCCAAATAGGTGGGAAGCTTCCCGAAAGCCTTGGGGAAGCTTCCGGAAGCCTTGCGGAAGCTTCCGGAAGCCTTAGGGAAGCTTTGGGAAAAAGGGGGGGAGATTGAAACAAGGGTGGTCCCCCCCTCCCCCCCCCCTTTTTCCCGAAGCTTCCGGAAGCTTCCGGAAGCTTCCGGAAGCCTTGCGGAAGACTTACGGACTTCTGAAGCTTCGGGGGAGCGGACGGGAAGGGCAGGGGACGGGGAAGGAAGGGGTGCGAGGGGGACGAGCATGAGCGTAGTGGTGGGTGTCATTTTCCAGGGCTTGTCGCGCCGCCAGTCAGTGGGGAACCCTTTGGGAGCCAAATACTTTAACAGTGTTATAACACTCCAATAGCAGTGCTATAGCATGTCTCAAGGGGGGGGGGGGTAAGGGAGGGGGGGGTTTATGCTTTCTTAAATAGCTGAGCTGCTCGCAGCTTTGAAGGCATCCATTTGCCGAAAGAATTTTTTTGTTAATTGTCCCTTGCTGGTTTTAAAAGGACTCTATCACTACTGGACATATGTTTTATTTCTTCCAGGGGGCTTAAGCAAATGGAAGGAGGGATTTACGCCAAGGTTGTTTCAGCCAGGGATCCAGGAACCGCTAAGATAGGGTTTGAAGCTTCGTGCAGCGGTTTGGTGCGGACCAAGGTGTCGGGGCTGGGCCATCTGTGGAGCATCAGCAGAGCTTGCAGGGCCTGCAGAGCCTGCAGGTGCGCCTCTGGGAGACTCATCTGCCTATGGCCTCATCGATTCGGGAGAACAAGCTCATGGTGAAGGTCCTTTTTGGGGATCTTGTGAGGTGATGGGTTATAGAAATAGCTGAACATCGACCCAGGATGAGGTTCAGTCAAAATATGCGATCGATCTATGGTCCATTTGGGAGGGACG